TTGTTGGTGGAATATCGGCGCTCAAAGTGCGTTTGTCTCTGTCTCTTATGTTCTCTAAACCAGTGGTGCCCATACTTTTTTTTTGTCTTGTGTTGCAACTACCCCCTGAGCCCTTTTATGAAACCATGAATAGCGTTACCTTCTTGTTTAATATTTCTTTAGATTCCAGATTGTTTAATAATCTTATTAATCTGATGTAAGTAAACCATTATATGAGATTGCTAAAAATAGTTGAGATTCTGTTCATGACATTATGCTACCTTGTTGCCAGTTTAAAGCATTGACTACATACATTATTCTGTTCTAGGTAAACCATCATATGAGATGTTGGAGAATCACCCTGACTGGACACCATCCTTGCGGTTAGGCCACAATAATGTTAAAGAAACAGATGGAGCGCGATATCAGCGGCAAGTAAAGCGCAGGACCCAGCATCTGGAGCAGTCATCACTCCCAGCCCAAGCCCAGCAGCCCCCATCGCCAGCCCAAGCCCAGCAGCCTCCATCACCAGCCCAGCCAGCCCAGCAGCCTCCATCCCAGCCCAAGCCCAGCAGCCTCCATCAGCCCAGCCCAGCAGCCTCCATCGCAGCCCAAGCCAGCAGCCCCATCGCCGGCCCAGCAGCTGCCTCAAGGAAGGATGAGGAAGCTCTCACCCTTCCAGCTTGTCCTATTGACTGTAATGCGCCTCAGATTAGACCTTCCATCTCAGAATTCACGTTGAGAGGGTGATTGGTGTTGTGCGCAACAAATTCAAATTCTTACATTCAACTGTACCTGTGCATATGCTTCTCAAATGTGAGGGTGAAAACCTAATGCCTTTAGATAAGATTGTCACTGTTTGCTGTGCCTTAACGAACATGTGCAAACGTGTTGTTTGAGTGCCTTGTTCATAACTTATGAACCAACCAGAACCCCTCATGTCATCTGGATCCGAGTCCAGAGTCAGAACCAGACACGGAGAAGCTGCATTCAGCTTCTATGCTCCACATGTCTGGAACAAACTCCCAGGAAGCCTCAGATCAGCTGAAACACTCAGTTTGTTTACATCCAGGTTAAAGACCCACCTGTTCTCAGCTGCTTTTGAATATGTTTTATTCTAATGCAAATCTGCACGGCTTCTTTTAAGCTGGAATGACTTATCTGTTATCTTTTTCTTATGAATTTTTGTTTTTAATTTTAAATCATGCTTTTTATTCTGTTACTTTTTAATGCTTCTTCTGCACCCAGCTGTAATGCTTCTTAATTTTTTATTTAAAGTACTTTGAATTGTTTTGTAACATGAATTTTGCTGTACAAATAAACTTGCCTTGCCTTTTTAATTTCTTTGAAATAAATGTTTGAAACAACTTCATGTGGCAAAGCAATATTTATTGAGAAATTAACATTTTTTTGGAGGGGGGGGTGTAATCTCTTGGAAAAGTTAACAGTGCAAAAGAACGTGTGCAGTCAACGTATAAATATTTCAGCATGAAAAGATGGACAACATAATAAAATAGTAACACTGCTGATAGTGCAAGTACAACGGTGTTTTCACCGCCTGGAGGCTTGTAGATGGCCAAGTCCTGCACCCAACCACAGCAGAAAGCCTCGTAACTCTCCAGTGACTTGTGACTTCTAAACTCCTGCATTGTATAATAACTAACACCGAAAACAAGGTAATTCACTATATCCATGTACGTGCACGCACTCCGCTGCAGGAAGCTCGTATGGGTCTAGCTTACCTGTTGTATGTCTGAGAGCTTCTCCAAATAACGTTGTTTTGCTTTTCCCTGTACGGTCCATTTCCTTTCGCCTTCACTTTCTCCATTAACTGTCTTGCTAGTGTTGTAATCGTAGATGTATCTACTGCCAAAATAATAAACGGCCGCTCAAGTTAAAGACCTCTGGAGCGTTAGCATAGACTGTAGCTATATATTGAGCGTTAGTGGCGTTGCCCCTGGCAACCGATAGAGGATCCTATCAACATGGCCGACCGGATTAGACCCCGCCCAAATTATCACGTGACTCCTCATTCTCAATACAGCTTGTCCCTCCCGTATTCGTCCCGGAAACCGGATTCGTCCGGAAGTTCAGTTTGCGCATGTCAAAAAGTTTAATATGTCCTTAAGTGGAGACTGGTTAAGTTTAGGCGTCTGATTAAGATGGTTAAGTTTAGGGTTAAGGCTGGGTTGGGGTTATTTTATGGGAATGGCTGGTTAAGTTTAGGCATGAATAGGTAGTTTTTTATATTTACTGCCGCTTCCGTCCAGATTCCGTGACGTAATCTACTGCTGCGTTTGCTCATTGGATCAAACTGAACTTCCGGACGAATCCGGTTTCCGGGACAAATACGGGAGTGACACAGCTTCTTCTTCCTTGCCGTTTTTTGGCGGTTGACAACCAAAAAAAAAAAGGAGTATTACCGCCACCTACTGTACTGGGGTGTGTGGACCATTGGAATCAAGCTAGAATCAGCAGTTTAAATACGATCTTTCAGTCCAGTGGTTTTGATGAAATGGATTAGACGTTTGCGGATGTTTACAGACGGTTGATCTAGCAATGTCTTTAAATTAAATGGGCGTGTTTCTTTTGCAACAGCTGTTGACATGCAGACTCGTTGCTCTCTATAATAATCACAGTGCAGGAGGACATGTTCTACAGTCTCTGGTTCATGTGTACAGTGCTGGCATGTTCCATCCACATGCTTTCCAATTCTCCAGAGTGAGTGGTTTAGGCCTGTGTGTCCGATCCTCAAACGTGTGATAATGGATTCCTCTTTACGGTTACCTGCCCACAGGCGGTTTGATCCAACTTTACTCTGGATTCCATAAAGATGTCTTCCTGTACCACTGACGTCCCAACACTCTTGCCAGAGCTTCATGATTTTAGATTTCAACAAGGATTTTCCCTCAGCTCGACTTAGTGATACATTAATGTTAATAGTGTCAGATCTTAAGGCTTGTTTAGCGAGTATATCCGCCTGCTCATTCCCCTCTACTCCAACGTGAGTGAGAATCCAAACCAGTGACACATCAATATTCTTGTTATACACCTGTACCAGGAGGTTATAAGCCTTATAAAGTAGATCCATCCTGCACGACTTTCCAGATTTGAGAATTAATAGCACTGCTTGGCTATCCGATGCTATAACAGTTTTACAAATATTGACACTAGAGTTCATCAAAAGCCAGTTAAGTGAAAGTAAGATGGCGATCAGCTCAACCGTGTATACTGCTAGATGGTTTGAGACTCGTCTTCTAATATTGATTCCATACTCTGGGATGCACACTGCTGCACTGGTTCGTCCGCTATCTGGGTCCTTAGATCCATCAGTGTACAGAATCAGACTATCATAGTGACATTCAAGATATTCGTGCACAATCCGCCATTCCGGTATAGTTCCTTTATCCTTAATACTTTGATGGAGAGATAGGTCAACCCTGGGAGGTTCAAAAACCCATGGAGGGACCGGAGAACATGGGACTGTGGGGCAATATTTAAAACCATTTAGGTCAAAGTGCTGTGCTTTGACTGAGTCTACGTCAGTCCACGAACCTATGTGCCTTTTCCAATTTATCTTTAACGGGTCCCAGTTCCCATATACTGGGTGGCGTTGCTGGTAATATTTCTACTTAATTAGACCAAACCTCCAAATTCATAGTTTCGACTACTACATATATATGCAGTATGTGTGTAAATAAGTTTTGCTGTTACTTGGAAAGAAGCATAAACGTCTGATGAAGAATTACGGACATTGTGTTTTAACAATTTAATAACTTTTTAAAGCAAGAGTTCATATAACATTCAATTTAAACTTTACACTTAGTACAATAATCTTAGAATGTATAAAAACTGACCAGATAGTTAGTTACCCACATTTAACTTAAAATTATACAGCTATCTCTAATTAGAAACCACTAATATACATGTATTTTAACGTGTGTGAAGCAATTCAATTTTAACAGATAATCCAGAAGTCTATTTTGAGATTGAAGTGTTTTGTCCTTGTTGCTCCATGTAAATATTCTTTCAGCAGGATCAGTTTGTCTCCAGATGTTTACCAGGTTTAAATTATTGCAAATGTTTTCAAATATGTGATAGTTTTTTGTTCATGTGAAGGCCATCTGTCAATGCTGTTGTCATGAAACAAGTTGAAATCCTCGCCCCCTTTATTTTTCTCCCAGGAGAAAGAATGATTAACATTTGCCATTATAATAGTTCCATGACATTTTCCCACAGAGAACCGTCACGTGGTGCGGCCGCGGCTTCGAACGTCACCAAATACGTCATCAACACCCGCCTCGACCCACGCTTCCAAAAAAACTCCCTTTGATTCCTCGGTACACACTTTGAAGACTCAGCACATCAGTAATGTAAGTACAAGACTTTAAACTCTTTATTGTCCACTAACAGACTGTGGCTTTGAGTCACGTGGGCCTCGGGGATTCCAGCTTTAACTTTGTTTGTGCCAAGATCTGAGTGATCCTGTGTCGGGGCTAATGCTAATGCTAATGCTAATGCTAATGCTAGTCGTTAGCCTGTCCTTTGTCCTCTCCACTTACTGTTTTCTCTCAGCTGTAGACTTAGTTCAACATTCATTCATGTGATACAGAGTTTGTAAAGGACGTGTCTGAGGTTTATCTGTGACAATGTCCCTGGTTGGACTTTTCTACACTGTCTTTAAAAACTACAGACGATACAATAATAAAAGATCCTCTCTCTCTCATGCTCTCACAGGTTAAATTCTTCTCCTAAATCCAGGGATCCGCGGAATTCTGACTTTATGACAATGTCATTTTTGTTAAATGTGTAAATCCTTTGTAAAGTTTGAGGAGGGTCTGCACTAGTAAAGGCTTGTTGTGGCTCTTTGTTATGGCTCCTTTGGCCTCGGAAAAAAATCTCTGCATCGTTTCAATTCCCCTTTCTGACAAAACTGAAACTAGAACAAGAGCCACAGACTCTGTGACAAATGAAAATATAAACTAGAAACTGCGTGTAGAAGCAGCAGCAGCACCGGTGGTATGTTCACCACAGAGCGGGGAAGAAGCGAGAGGGAGAGCAGCCGCAGGGGAGCAGTGTGGGCCACAATGTGGTCAGAGATGGGGAAGAGTGTGTAGACCATGGAGACGCAACCGTGGTGAAGTTGGTTTGATATTTGGATATTAATTATAAAGATAAGATGGACTTTATTGTTCTCACACAGGAGTATGTCACATCTGGCATGGATAGAATCACTCAAGATTTGTGCAAAAGAAAGAAGTGTGAAACATGTTAAAGGAAAAAGGCAAAAAATATAGTCTTTTTTAGGATATATTATGTACAATTAAAGAAACTGTGGCAATAGTAGTGCAGGTTTTTAAGTCCTGGTGCAAGTGACTTAAAGTGACTTATTGTACAGTCTTCCTCTGAAGGAGCTCCTCCTCAGTCCTGTGCAATCGGAGGTGTTGTTCATGATGGAGGTGACTTTGACTAGTACCTCCTGTCCCTCTCCGCCTCCACAGAGTCCAGGGGCCTCCTGTCTCTCATCCTCCAGAGTCCAGGGGCCTCCTGTCTCTCATCCTCCAGAGTCCAGGGGCCTCCTGTCTCTCATCCTCCAGAGTCCAGGGGCCTCCTGTCTCTCATCCTCCAGAGTCCAGGGGCCTCCTGTCTCTCATCCTCCAGAGTCCAGGGGCCTCCTGTCTCTCATCCTCCAGAGTCCAGGGGCCTCCTGTCTCTCATCCTCCAGAGTCCAGGGGCCTCCTGTCTCTCATCCTCCAGAGTCCAGGGGCCTCCTGTCTCTCATCCTCCAGAGTCCAGGGGCCTCCTGTCTCTCCAATCCTCCCAGAGTCCAGGGGCCTCCTGTCTCTCATCCTCCAGAGTCCAGGGCCTCCTGTCTCTCATCCTCCAGAGTCCAGGGGCCTCCTGTCTCTCATCCTCCAGAGTCCAGGGGCCTCCTGTCTCTCATCCTCCAGAGTCCAGGGGCCTCCTGTCTCTCATCCTCCAGAGTCCAGGGGCCTCCTGTCTCTCATCCTCCAGAGTCCAGGGGCCTCCTGTCTCTCATCCTCCAGAGTCCAGGGGCCTCCTGTCTCTCATCCTCCAGAGTCCAGGGGCCTCCTGTCTCTCTCCTCCAGAGTCCAGGGCCTCCTGTCTCTCATCCTCCAGAGTCCAGGGGCCTCCTGTCTCTCATCCTCCAGAGTCCAGGGGCCTCCTGTCTCTCATCCTCCAGAGTCCAGGGCCTCCTGTCTCTCATCCTCCAGAGTCCAGGGCCTCTGTCTCTCATCCTCCAGAGTCCAGGGGCCTCCTGTCTCTCATCTCCAGAGTCCAGGGCCTCCTGTCTCTCATCCTCCAGAGTCCAGGGGCCTCCTGTCTCTCATCCTCCAGAGTCCAGGGGCCTCCTGTCTCTCATCCTCCAGAGTCCAGGGGCCTCCTGTCTCTCATCCTCCAGAGTCCAGGGGCCTCCTGTCTCTCATCCTCCAGAGTCCAGGGCCTCCTGTCTCTCATCCTCCAGAGTCCAGGGCGGCTCCTGTCTCTCATCCTCCAGAGTCCAGGGGCCTCCTGGTCTCTCATCCTCCAGAGTCCAGGGGCCTCCTGTCTCTCATCCTCCAGAGTCCAGGGGCCTCCTGTCTCTCCTCCTCCAGAGTCCAGGGGCCTCCTGTCCCTCTCCTCCTCCAGAGTCCAGGGGCCTCCTGTCCCTCTCCTCCTCCAGAGTCCAGGGGCCTCCTGTCCCTCTCCTCCTCCTGACCAGCTTGTTCAGTCTGTTTCTGTCCCGCTCTGTGATGCCCGGGGCCCAACACACGGCAGCGTAGTAAATGGCAGAAGCTACCACAGAGCCATAAAAAGTCCTGAGCAGAGGCCTGCTCACTCAGAAGGAGCTCAGCCTCCTCAGAAGGAGCTCAGCCTCCTCAGAAGGAGCTCAGCCTCCTCAGAAGGAGCTCAGCCTCCTCAGAAGGAGCTCAGCCTCCTCAGAAGGAGCTCAGCCTCCTCAGAAGGAGCTCAGCCTCCTCAGAAGGACCTCAGTCTCCTCAGAAGGACCTCAGCCTCCTCAGAAGGAAGAGGCGACTTTGGCCCTTCTTGTGCAGGGCGTTTGTATTATGGACCAGTCCAGTTTATTGTTAATGTGAACACCCAGGTACTTGGGGCTGTCCACCAGCTCAATGTCCTCCCCCTGGATGTTCAGCAGCGTGTGGGAAAGTGGTTTTCTCCTGAAGTCGATGATCATCTCCTTGGTCTTACTGGTGTTCAAGCACAAGTGGTTGCGCTCACACCAGTCGACAAAGTCCTTGATAACCGACCGATATTCCAGTTCGTTCCCCTCAGACACACAGCCCACGATGGCGGAGTCGTCGGAGAACTTCTGCAGGTGACAGCTGTGTGTGTCGTGTGTGAGTCTGAATGGGCGAAATCCATTTAATTGTAATGTAAAAGTTTTAAATCACTTTGATAATTATTTTTTTTTTATAGTAAAAATATTTTTCATCATTATCTTATAGGGCATTTGACCCCCTCACCCCAAATCATTATGAAATAATGCCGCTTTTCCACAGTGTCAGTTCGGTCCGTTTAAGTACGGTATGGCGCGCTTATTTTGCATTTCCACTAGTGATAGTCCCGGACTTTGCGTTACTTTTTTGCAACACCTCGATTGCGGTTCCATGCGCACCGTACCGATACCATGACGTGACATCAGCCCACTGCCTCACACTGATTGGTCAACGAGTGTCGTCACTGGAAGCGACATCTGACCCTTTGGGAAAAACAACTCAACCGCCATCTTTAAAACCGGCTGCTCTGCTCGGCTCTGCTTCAGCTACATTACGTCCTCCTCACTCCAGAGAAATGGAATTGCACAGAAAGCCCCAAAAGTCCTGGTCCTGGTCGGTGGACGAGGTCCACACGTTCCTCTCTTCAGGCCAAAGAAAGAATTCAAAGGCAGCTCGAGGCTCAACACAGTTTTCAGGAGATCACTCTGGATTTGTGACTAGTCTGTGGTAATCCTGGAAATAACTGCTGCGTTTCCTGTTGGCCCAAACTCACTGAAATGTATTTACTGTGTACATGTTTGATTGTCAGTTGTACACAGTGAGCTAGCTACATTTAGCTTAATTTAGCTATCGTTAGCAGCTAAGCTAACGTCCTCCCTGTGCTACTGTGCTTTATCTCGTATTATCTGCAGTATTCAGGTGTTGTCATTCTGTTTTGTGCTTGTATTTAAGTTGTCATGTGTATATTTGTATGAGAATCCCTTTCCATAAGTGAGATTACCAACGAGTAATGAGTGACCGGAGTATTCTCCTCATCTGGACCTGGTCTCAGACATGCATACTTTGGACTTTGTAAACTGTTGGTTTTGCACTTTACTTTTGTTTTCAATAAATCTGTGATTGTATCCCAAGACTTTGTTTCATTCATTTATTATTATTGTAGCTGAGGTTTGGGTATCGATTGTTTGTCTGGTCTCGGAGTCTGCTGTAGTCCGGACCAGAGCCCGGACTAGCCTAGCATAGTCGCTAACTCGCTATCCCTATGGCGGCTGCTGTCTCTCCCTCAGTCCTGTACTGCTCGAGTCGCCATATGGCGAGTTTAAACCCTGGATCCTTCTCCGAGGGTAGTGATGCATTAAATTGTAGTTGTAGCTTTGAAATCCAGGGTTAGTGAGTTAGAGCTGCGTCTCCGAGCAATCCAGTCTCGAGCGAGCGCTAGCATTAGCTATAGCCGTATCCTCACGGACCATAGACTGTATATATTAACGGACAAGTTACGATTTTCTACCATATACTTATGTACTTTTACTACATACATTATTTGTCAGTAAATTTGTATAACCGTGATACATTTATGAACAAGGATGGAGAGATTTGGTAAATAAAAAGGTTTTATTTTTTGTCAATAAATGTTTAGGCAGACAAGTTATGCATCGGATAGCCCTCCCCTGCAACCACTGCTACACAGGCTGCTGTTGCTACAGGTATGTCCGTGGCTTTGTGGGTTGTACAGAGCACAGCAGGTCAGCATTGAATTCACATGTTCAGTGTCCGAGCCATTCCTTTATTTTTCAATAACCGCTCGCGCTGTGCTGAATTTTCTATTAAACACTTGCTGTTAGTCTGTCACTCGGTGTCCTGAAAAGGTTGTAGGAGCCAGTTCTGCAGGGGTTAAGCAGAGTCCCCTCGGAGGTAATTACCCTGCTATCACGGATAATAAAATAACTCCATGCACGCACCAATATTACTAGTTACGCGTCCGGCGTAAATTACGTGGTCTCGCAACGCTGAGATACAAGGAGGCACTATTTTTGATGGAAAAGCACGCGAACTGAAGCGTGCCGTAACGTGTAGAGTCGTTCCGTATCGTACTGACAGTGGAAAAGCGGCATAATAGTACTACTTGTGGGCTAAGGGGCTCTGGCCCTAAAAATGGGGTTAAAAGCTTGTAAAATTATTTTTTGGTTAAAAATGAATTTTTTCTTAATAGCTTTTAGGGTATTTGACCCACTCACCCCAAACCACTTTTAAATGATGGTAATATCTGTGGGCTATGGGGAAATTATTTTTAAAAGCCATTAAAATTATTATTTGGTTAAAAAAATATTTTTTCCGTAGTAGCTTTCAGGGCATTTGACCCACCCACCCCAAACCAAACCTGGTCCAGTGTTCCGCGACCTGGACAAAAACCACACTGCTCCTGAATCCGAGATTCGACCATTGTTCGAAGCCTCCTCTCCAGTACCTTGGAGTAGACCTCACCGGGGAGGTTGAGGAGTCCCAAGATAATTGGAAAACACCCTCCGGTTCCCCTTCTTGTAGAGAGAGACCGGTGGAGTCGACCCCAGTAACAAGGTGGAGAAGCTGTTTGGTTTAGGGATGTAAATCGGCGACCGTTTAACCGGTGGTTGACCGTCACAGCGTTAACCGGTCAAAGCTGTCGGTTAAAAAAGAGAAAAAGGGGAGAGGGGAGGTCTCTTAATAACGCTATTTTAAGCCCTATTTGCACGATGTGACGAGCGGGTCTGTATCTAGCTGTGTGCGCCCATGTATTATAAACTCCGGGACGACTCTCACGCCGCACGAGCCACATATGCACACACGCGCGCACACACGCGCACACACACACGCACACACTTTCCACCTCTCCATACGTAACATCCACACGCATCATCTCTCCCCTCTGTTACCGTCAAAGTTGCACACTGGCGCGGGTTAGAACTACATTGGAGCTTACATTTACACACACACACATATACATACACACACACATACATACACACACACATACACACACACATACCGGTCTGTCGCGCTCCTCTGTGTCACGGAGCCCAAAGGATTCGCGCAAATACACGGCTCCAGTCAAACCACATGGAACATGTTTGTGTTTATGGTACTCGGGATCAGCTCCACACACATCACTTGTATTTAAACTTTTGTGAAGACCTGTGAGACGCGGCTCGTCACTCGCTGCTCTGACCATGTGAACGAGCCGTCGTTTGCTGCTAGAAAGTTTTGGTATTAACCCGTAGCACAGCGGAATGGGAAGATTAAAAAAGCAGTTCTCTGTGCGCAAAGGTGCCGGAGCTATAGCTGGTTTTGGTGCCGCTGTCTCAGCTCTGATCCAGTAGAACGCAGAGCTGCACTTATGAAAAGTACGCGGCTCGAAATGGCTGTTATTTCAAGAACGTGGACTATTTTAAACTACGCGGTTAACCGGTTTCAACCGGTTAATGAGGCTCGGTGGTCGGTCATGAAAATTCATAGTTTTTTACATCCCTAGTTTGGTTCTGACCATTTTCTCTGCTCTTGTCCAAAGTAAAATGCAAAATGCTTCATTAGCATTTTTCAAAAGGTTAGCCTTACTCCAGTGGATTTTCACCTGATCTGCTTGGTTTGCACCATGAATCCCCTCTGGTGTTTTTTTTACACTGGTCTGAACAATCAACAATGTACCGCAGCAACATCTCAGGAAAAAAGCAAGGCAAGTTTATTTGCATAGCACAATTCATACACAAGGCAATTCAAAGTGCTGAACAAAATAAAGCATTAAAATCATAAATAATCACAGAACATTAAAAAAGATAAAAACATAAAATCCCTCAGTTGTAGCACAGCTAAACAGAACTGTTTTTAACCTGGTTTTAAACATTGTCAGAGAGGAGGCCTGTCTCACATCTTCAGGAAGATTATTCCAGATTTTAGCAGCATGAATCTGAAAAGCAGCCTCCCCATGTTTAGTTCTGACTCTGGGCACTAACAGGAGTCCAGTCCCTGTGCTCCTCAGAGTCCGGGCTGGTTCATATGGGACTAACATGTCACTAATATATTTTGGTGCAAGACCATGGAGAGACTTGTAACAAGCAGAGCTGTTTTAAAGTCTATTCTCTGAGCCACAGGAAGCCAGTGCAGAGACCTGAGGACTGGACTAATATGGTCGTACTTCCTGGTTCTAGTCAGGACTCGAGCTGCTGCATTTTGAATGTACTGCAGCTGTTTTACAGCCTGTTTGGACAGACCTGTGAGCAGGCCTTTGCAGTAGTCTAACCTACTGGAGACAAATGCATGGATAAGAATCTCCAAGTCTGCTTTAGACACTATGTTTTTGATCCTGGCATTGTTTTTTAGATGGTAAAAAGCTGCTGATGTTACTGATTTGATGTGGCTATTAAAATTTAAGTCCGAGTCCAGTATTACCCCTAGATTTCTGACCTTGTTTGAAGGTTTTAGGGGGAGCGACTGGAGGTGACAGATGAC